TGTTATCTCTGATACCAATGAGTACTGGTTTGATTTCATCCGCAATTCCTGTGTCCACTACTTCGGCGTCTTCTTCGTTTGTTGCGTTTTCAATTACATTATCTGCATTGCTTGTATCATTCTCGTCATCCGCATCATTTGAATCATAGAAGTCGTCGTAACATTCATATGCCATTAACTCGGAGTATAGATTATTTCTTAGAGTTGTCAGATTTGTTGGATGTCTATAATCACTGTATGTGCTTAAAAAGTATTCAGGTGTTATCTCATCTTCAGCGTTTTCTATATCCATTTCTGAATCACTAGAGATGGTAATTACTTCAATATCATATGGATCGATTGGGTTATTAATTCGTGAAGTTGACGGTTCACAATAAGGTAGGTTCACTGAATTATTAGTTGAATTATTATTAAGCGGCACATTATTGTTGGCATCATTTGTCCGTTGATTGTTTCCATACGAGTCCATAGAAGAGTCACTGTTTGATTTATTATTAGCCATCTGTTATAAACATAATAAAAAAATAATGGTTATATTTAATGAATACATTTATAGTTTTTAAATCACAGCGAGCTTTAATGAGTCATAATAGCGCAATTATCCCCCAATAGTTTAATAGATTTAGTGGTAATTATTAGTTTATTAGTTTATACCCCCAACATTATATAAGGGTTATTATGGTAACGAGTGTTTATTATTAGTCGGGTCTTTATTATTAGATATTAGTCGAGTGTTTATTAAATATTAGTCGGGTGTTGTTGTTGTTTAGCCATCCTCGAGCTTCGGAAAACAGCCGTTGTTTGATGAAGTGTTGGGTTCGTCCTTAGTCCACACGTCTGTCAGCTACCATCCTTTGCAGTTGATAGACGTAGAAATTTTGAGTTCCAGTTTAAGAACTCAGTTAGGTGTTGACTCGTTTAAGTCAATCACAGCGATCATTACATGTCATTCGCACCCCTCAGCCGGTTTAAACCAAGGCTCTCATTCCTCCCATGTGAGGTGAGAAGATCAGAGGATTAGTGTCAGCTTTTAAACCGACATCCTCTGTTGACAAAAGCGCTGTGCTACCATTCCCTCGGTATGCACATGCCTATGATCTTTTTTTGGACCTTTAAGCCCTATTTATGAAGAGTGACTTTGCTTTAAAAGTCTACTCATCACTGTGCTTGGATTTGCGTGTGAGTCGGTAGGTTCTGTTTAAAGAACCTTACCGACGGTGTATAACAGGTAATGTAAGTAAAACTCCAGTTAAAGAGCTGTGCTACCGGTAATAGTTGAGTAAATCTCACCGCTTTAGCCACCACATGCGTTGTGTTACACTAATTCGTAGCCACTGTTACGCCACAGCGGTCCGATACGAGCTGATGAAACACAACCGGTACCTATCCGTAAACAGATACCGTCCAAGTCTGACGACTCACCGTTGAGTTAAAATAAATTGTAATCCGTATTGTAAATGAGTATAACAGTATTTATTTGAATAATAATAATAAAAACAAAAGTACAATAAATTTATATGTAATCCAATGGTATTTTATTAGGTTTGCAGTTTAATGCAAATCCTAAGCACTCTTTAGGGTTAACTGGTTTAAGTCTGAACCCAACACTTCATAACCAAATGAATGGTTTACAGCAGTTTATATACTCTCAAAATCAATGGGACTTATTGTTTGCGCACAACACCTATTGGTGTCGTGTGCAAACATGCCGTGCCTTCCCTAATATAAATTCATATACTATACTTAATTCCCAATAAGAATTAAAGAAATTAATTAATTAATAAAATATTCCCATAAAAATTCCCTATATTTTCCCTATATATTCCCTTAATATTCCCTATGTTTCTGTTAGGTGTTAACCCACTTAATAAAAATAGTGTTGTATATTTTGTATTATAGACGGGATAATTATCCGGTCACCCGGGTAATCATCCCGTTTCAATATAACTAAGCCTTTAGGGACGGGACTCCTGGTTTGTCCCGCCGGGACGAAACCGGGAATTCCGTTCCCAACTCTATTAATTAATTTTGTTAGTGTCGGTGCCCATCAATAGATGGCGCCACCGACACTATATAAACATCTTTCCCTGACAGTATTGTAGTAACAAAAAATAGTAATAATAATAATCAATAATAATAATAGTCAGTATAATTATAATAGTAATAATAATAAACTAATAATAACAACAATAAATAACAATAATTATAATCAGTATTACAATAGTATTTACCTTAGTATTGTTTTACAATGTATTGAAACCAAAATAGTATTAATCCCTTAAATATCTAATAGTATTAAATTCAGTATTAACGCACAACACTAGTCACTTATAAACCACAACAATATTAAATAATAGTAATTAAAATTAACAACAATAACAATAAGTATTAAAATAATAGTATTTAAAATTGTGTTATAACACAAAAGTATTACATAGTATTACTACATAAAATCCTATACAGTATTATTAAACATAATTATGAGTACAAATATACTTATCAGTATTATTTTACATTTTATCAGTAATTTAAAGTTATATTTAATTTACATAGTCAGCATAGAAGATAATTATGAAAATGTTATCTCTATGCTGACCTCCATATAATACAATATTAATGATTTTTTAATATAAAAATTTAAATAATATATAACAGTTATAAAATTAATTTATAAATATAATTTAAATTAATTTTTGAATATAATTAAAATTAATTACGTTTGTAAAATATATTGATGAAAATTATTTATTTATAACGAAAATTATAATAAAAAATAACTGTATTTAAAAATAAAAAATATAGTGTATATATATAACTAGAGTTGGAAAAAATCAAAAAAAAATAAAAATTGTATTTTAAAAGATAAAATTGTTTTAAAAAATAAAATCAAAAATACATATTTATTAGGGTTGTAAAATATCTTTAAAATTATATAAAATTAATAACCATAAACCAAAAAAATTAATCAAAATTAAATCAAAAAATTAAATCAAAAAATTAATCAAAAAAATATCAAAAATTCAAACAAAAAATTAAACAAAAAATCAAAAAATAAATCATAAAATATAATTAAATTTTTAATACAATTTGAATAACTAAAGTATTTAAAATTTAATTTAATCAAATATAATTAAATTTTTTAATAAAATTTAATTATTTTTCAAATTTTTTAAGCTCTTTATTGGCCAATTTATAGCAATTATCGCCATATTTTTTAGCCAAAAAGCCCAATACTTTAATTGCATGCTGTATTTTCCCGACTTCAAATCGATATGAATAAATAGGAATCAAATTGCCTGTAGTAGGATGACGTTTAAGTGAATAAAAAACAACTTTACCTCCATCAGTCAATGCCTGGCCAAAATAGTCTTAAAAAATTTAATTTTAAAAATAAATTATTAATAAATAATGCATATTAAACAATTATAAATACATAATAATCAAACATTATTCAATACCCGATCTGCATTTGTGTAGCAATTTTTCTCCTTGTTTTGCAGTAACTGTTGTGTCCACGATATCATAACCTTCATTGTCATCGATTTTAGTTTTTTTAGTAATTTTAGAAGTACTAGGTTTACTAGCATTAGTTTTTTGTCGTTTGTTTGTTTTAGGAATAATAAGTGATATCGGTTCCTCACCACTAACACTACCAGCACCAGAATCATCAGTATCCGAGACCTCCAGAGCCTCCATATCCACGAATTCTTTTGCTTTGCCAGACATTGTAGCGTAATATACAAATACTGTAAATAAACTTAGAAAACAAAGTTTTTAATACAAATAATGTATTGAATGAATTTAGAGAAAATGCTTTCGCTTTTTATATGATTTTTCTCTAATATAATTCTATATAAAATGAAATTATGTCAAAAGTATACTATTTTGATTATTATTTCCTTAATGTATTTTTGAAATAATTTATGTTAATAAATTAGTTACAACCCTAGTTATAATAAAAATTTTTATTAATATAATTTATTTATAATATTAAGCTTATATAGTAAAAAAATATAATATATAATTAGTTATTTTTTCCAACCCTAATAATTTTTATTATATATATTTATAAATAAATAAGTTGTTTTCATATAAAACAACTATAATAGCATTTAATTTATTATTTTGAACTCATCTTATATACAGATAATTATTACTCGTTACTATACAGATATTAATAAATTAAGTTAAATACAAGTGAATTAATTATATTTAAATATTTTTTTAAACATTATTCTCATATGTGCAAAATATTAATAAATTAAGTTTATATGCTAAAAAAATTTTATATTTAAATATATTTCTAAAAACATGTTTAATATTTTGTTCAAAATATTAATAAATTAACTTTAAATACAATTAAAACATTTATATTTAAATATATTTTTAAAATGTATGTTATTTATTATTATTATAATTGGGACAAAAGTTTAAAAAAACTTATTTTTAAATATTTATTTTAAAAAATCATTTATTGAATTTTTATTATTAACATGGATAGGACTGTAGTTTTACATAATGAAAGAGAGTATTGTTGCAAAATATGCAAACATACTTCAGTATCTTTTAATTTAATTTTAATGCACTTAAAACTAAATCATGATTCAATTGTTGGTGAATATTATCAATTAAATGGTACATATCGACCATATATAATTATTTTCAAACCATCTAATTATAAATAAGTAAGTATTAAAATTTTTTTAATAAATATATTTATTTAATTAATTTAGTTATAAAAAAATCAATTAATTGCTCGTATCACCAGCATGAAATAACAACAACTGTGTAATTAAATACTATTAATATAAATTATAACTTATATACATTAATAATTACATTTTTATATAAATGTTTATGTTTTTTTTAATATTTATCAATTATTTAAAACATAAACAGTTTATACATATATGGTAATAATTTTTTATTTAAATCAATGTTTTATAATTATAAAAAAAATATCAAATTATTATAAAAACTATATTATTGTTAATTTATAATCATTTGTTTGTTTGTTTTTTAACTGAGATTTCATAGTCCAACACATTTGTGGCCATTTCGGCAAATGTTGTATTCAATTGGCGGACATTGTATTCATCGAACTGTGAGATCGGCGGTCGTTGACCTTCCAGACACCAACCGGACGGCGAAAGTAAGTTATCTCTAATATTCAGATGAACCGTATAATAGGTTTGACGCCAATCGGATCGCCAACGATTGTAAAGTGATGGACAAACACGTCGACCATCGGCAGCAAACTGACCGTTTGCATCGTGTATCAGATCCGGCCGTTTCGCTAATATCTCTTTGGTTGGCAATTCGCCGGCATTATAATACCAATCCCAGGGATGATAATCACAGTAACAGATTAGCCATAGTTTCAAAAACCGGGCCTTTCTATGGGCTACCAGTGTTTGTGTGCCCAACACTTTGTATTCAGTATTCAAACCCCAATCACGTATTTCATAGTCCAGTGTCATCTCATAGTTGCGATACGTATCCAAACTTTTTACAACATAGACATCTCTGTCCAGATAAATGCCGCCAAACTCCCGGAGCACTTGGATTCGGCCGATATCTGATGCGTGATAATTGTGAAATGATTTACTCAACTGTTGGCCAAATATATGAGTCGGTCGTTGAATTTCCCGTACAATAAGCCGTGTAGTATTGGTCGCATTGACCACTCGATTGATACGTTGCCAATAATCACCCCGTAATTCATGACAATCGCAATGAATGTACAGACTATCGGGTTTCTGATTTTTCAGTACCGATAGTATCGACAAAAAGTGTACATAATTTATAAAATGTGTTTCAAACAGTATATAGTGGACAATATTTGGCACTAAATATCTATCGTTTGCCGGCGACAACTGGCCATCAAATGCCGGCACACGAGCCGACCAATTGTGCCGATCAATGCACACTTGTATTGGATAATAATGACTCCTATCATTGATAACAATCTTATTATTATTGTGTGTCTTAATTGTAATTAATATCACATAAATAGATATAAATATTGAAATAATTAATAATAATAATAAATTGTATTTATTATAAAACTTAATCATATTTTAGTACAGTATTATTATTAGTAGTAATAAACATTTAATGAATCAAAATATAAATTATTTATTAAATACTATAGTTGTCGATCAATGCATAGATGTTTTGGATAATAGTATTTACTATTATTGATAACAATTTTATTACTATTGTGTGTCTTAATTGTAATTAATATCACATAAATAGATATAAAAATTGAAATAATTAATAATAATAATAAATTGTATTTATTATAAAACTTAATCATATTTTAGTACAGTATTATTAGTAGTAGTAATAATAAACATTTAATAAATCAAAATATTTATTAAATAGTTTTAACTTTAAAAAAAATAGTTTATAACTTTTATAACAATTAATACAATTATAACTATAATAACTAATTGATATTGCATTCAAAATTGTTTAACACTCAACTAATACTGTATTACAGTTTTATATACAATACATATATTAATAATAAATTTTGTTAAAACTATTATACAGTTATTAAAAAAAACTATACAGTATTTAGTATTACATAATCTAATACTCGAGAATATTCTGGTTTAAAATAAATAATAAATAATATTTTTCACTAGAATTTTGCAATTATATAAAATAATAATTTTTATTAATATTAATAATAAGATTAATAATGATCTTGTATTCAAAGATTTTTAAAATATAATTAAAAAAAAGTAAAAAATAAAATTCAATGATAAAGAAAACATAATTATCATTTTATAAAATCTAATAATAATAAATCATATGCAATAAATTATTTTTAAAAAAAATAAAAATATTTCAATTATGTGTTTAGATTTTTAACATAATATTAATAAAACTAATAAAAGAAATATAATTATTTATAATAAGATAATATTAATTATTAATTATTAATAAACTGTTTTTTTATTGTTTGAATAGTTTTTAAAAAATTTTATTTCAATTAATATTTTGCAATATTCTTGTGAAAAAAATATGCATTTAATAGCAAAAATGAAAAACAAAATAAAATTGTATTACAAAATCCTATTGCAATCTAATTACTAATTAAATAAATAAATAAAGATATATATATATATATATATATATATCCTTATTATATTACAACAACAATAAATAAAATCAAATCAATTAACACATTACACAATAACCCACATAACATGATTGCACCGGTATGTACAGGTTTTATACCAGTGCTATCATATTATTCACTTATATTTATATACTACTGTATGAACAATAAACTATTAAATTAATTATAATTAATTAGTTTTATATACAACAATATTTGTCAATTAAATAAAATAAATATTAATATTGATTTTAGTTTATTTTTTTTAATAACAAGTGTACAAAAAAAATAATTTTTTTGATTAGTATGTAAACAAAATAAAGTTATAATTATATATTTTTTATATAAATTAATTTATAATTTTATAAAAACTTTTAAATTATTGTTAATTATAAAGAATATTATGTTTAATTGTATTTTATATAAATTATAATTTTGTATTATATCTGATCAGTGTATTTTTAAATAATTATAAAATGAATAATAAAATTAATTAATTACTAACATATTATATGATAATCTAAAATTATATTTAAAAATAAATATAAAAAAATGGTTTATTAATTTAAATTAAATTAAATGAGAAATTTTTAACTAATAATGTATTTGATATAATTAATAATTTGATATTATTATTATTATTTTTAAAAAAATGATCAAGCATTTTATAAAAGAAAATGATTTTTATAATTTTTTTACAAACAAATTTAGTAATACTAACAATATTTTATTTCATGTCTAATTTATAGTTTATATGATTAAGTTTATTTATAAATTAATATTTATTAAAGAAACTAATTTATTTTATTTGCATAATTATAATTTTTATTAAAATAATAATTAATTAAATATTTATATTAATAATAATAATAATACAGAAAATAAACTATTATTAATTAATAGTCATTTACTGTAAATATATTTTATATATAAATAATGATTATTAATAAAAGTAAAATTGGTTTTTCAGTATTTGTTACAATTTTTACGACTATTTATTTGATTTTAATTATGCGAACACTGGATATTATAGTTGTAGTCATCAATAGTAGTCACTATTATCCCTATCATCTGTGCATTGATCGACACAATTGGTCGGCGCGTTTGTCGGCATTTGATGGCCAGTTGTCGTCTACGGCAAACAATGATAGATATTTAGTGCCAAATATTGTCCACTATATACTGTTTGAAACACATTATATAAATTATGTACACTTTTTGTCTATACTATCGGTACTGAAAAACCAGAAACCCGATAGTCTATACATCCATTGCGATTGTCATGAATTACGGGGTGACTATTGGCAACGTATCAATCGAGTGGCCAATGCGACCAATAATACTATACGGCTTATTGTACGGCAAATTCAACGACCGACTCATATATTTGGCCAACATTTGAGTCTAATATTTCACAATTATCACGCATCGGATATAACCAGAATCCAAGTGCTCCGTGAGTTTGGCGGCATTTATCTGGACAGAGATGTCTATGTTGTGAAAAGTTTGGATCCGTATCGCAACTATGAGATGACACTGGACTATGAAATACGTGATTGGGGTTTGAATACTGAATACAAAGTGTTGGGCACACAAACACTGGTAGCCCATAGAAAGTCCAGGTTTTTGAAACTATGGCTAATGTGTTACTGTGATTATCATCCATGGGATTGGTATTACAATGCCGGCGAACTGCCAACTAAAGAGATATTAGAAAAACGGCCGGATCTGATTCACGATGCAAACGGTCAGTTTGCTGCCGATGGTCGACGTGTTTGTCCATCACTTTACAATCGTTGGCGACCCGATTGGCGTCAAACCTATTATACAGTTCATCTGAATATCAGAGACAACTATCTTTCGCCGTCCGGCTGGTGTCTCGAAGGTCAACGACCGCCGATTTCACAGTTCGATGAATACAATGTCCGCCAATTGAACACAACATTCGCCGAAATGGCCAGAGATGTGTTGGACTATGAAATCTCAGTTAAAAAAAACTAAATGATTATATATTAACAATAATAATAGTTTGATTGAATATTTTTTTAAAAATAATTTTATTAAATATTAAAAATAAATAAATAATATTAGATTTTATGTAATTATTAATATATAAAGTTATATAAGTAATAATGTATATAATATTAAAGTATTTACTTAACAGGGTTAAATAAAAATTTTGTTTTAATTTATACTAAAATTTTTTAATCAATAATTATCTGTACAAAAAAAAACTTAGTATTATTAATCTAAATGATTATAATATATCAAATAAAATCAAAATTATTTTATTATTTATTACAACAACAAAAATGATTTAACAATTTTTTAAAAAACAAATTTATGTGTAATTTATTTTTATAAAAATAATAACTTGAACTCATTCATATGATTGAATCAAATTTTTAAAAAACATTAAATTTTATAATTTATGAAAACAAAATGAATAAGAAATTAATAATTATAATAAAATGTTTTACAATAAAAATAATTTAGTTATCTTTATCAACAAAAAAAACAATTATTTTTTTTAAAAAATGTTAGAAAAATATATCGAAATTGTTTTCAGATTTGGATTAAACTATTAATTAAATTATTAGACAAATCAGTAAATTTAAAAAAAAACCCCAAATAATGTTTTATGAAAATAAAGTTGGCGTCAAATCTACTTAACGGTAAATTTGAAGATAAAAAAAAACAATAGACTATAGCCTATTGGCTATTTGTTTCGGTACTAACCGATCGGCTATATTGCAGTTTAACGAATACAATGTCCGCCAATTGAATACAACATTCGCCGAAATGGCCAGAAATGTGTTAGACTATGAAATATCGGTTACAAACTAAATGATTATAAATTAACAATAATATAGTTTTTATAATAATTTGAATGAATATTTTTTTTATAATTATAAAACATTGATTTAAATAAAAAATTATTACCATATATGTATACACTGTGTATTTTAAATAATTATTAAATAATAATAAAAATAACATAAACATTAATATTAAATTTTATGTAATTATTAATAAGTTATAAGTTATAATGTATATAATATTATTAGTATTTTATTAACAGATAAACAAAATTTGTTTTAATCTCTGTAAAAATTTTTTAATCAATAATAATCTGTAAACAAAAATATTATTAGATATTGATTTTATTAAATTAAATTCATATTTTAAAAAAAACATTTTATAATTTTAAAAAAATATATTGTTTTAAATACATTATTCACTGTATGTTTGTTTTTTTATCTCTCAATAAAATTTATTCATAGAATAAGTAATAATTGTTTTCAATTAAAACAATTAAATCAAAATAAAAAGTTTTGATAACTATTTCTATTTAAAAAAAAAACAAACAAATTAATAAATGTTTTATTTATATAATCACTTAGTATATCAAAAACAATAACACCAAAAAATATTTAATTAAATATTTTTTCATATTTTTTTAGTGTTTCATATTTTGTTAGTAAAATATTAACCAAAATATTACGTTAAACTACAGTATGTAAAATATTTATTAGTTTATGTAATACTAAATACTGTATAGTTTTTTTTTATATTACTGTATAATAGTTTTAACAAAATTTATTATTAATATACTGTATATAAAACTGTAATACAGTATTAGTTGAGTGTTAAACAATTTTGAATGCAATCAATTATAGTTATTATAGTTATAATTGTATTAATTATTATAAAAGTTATAAAACAAATTTTTTTTTTTTAAAGTGAAAACTATTTAATAAATAATTTATATTTTGATTTATTAAATGTTTATTATTACTACTACTAATAATACTGTACTAAAAAATGATTAAGTTTTATAATAAATACAATTTATTATTATTATTAATTATTTCAGTTTTTATATCTATTTATGTGATATTAATTACAATTAAGACACACAATAGTAATAAAATTGTTATCAATAATAGTAAATACTATTATCCAAAACATCTATGCATTGATCGACACAATTGGTCGGCGCGTGTGACGGCATTTGATGGCCAGTTGTCGCCGGCAAACGATAGATATTTAGTGCCAAACATTGTCCACTATATACTGTTTGAAACACATTTTATAAATTATGTACACTTTTTGTCGATACTATCGGTACTGAAAAACCAGAAACCCGATAGTCTGTACATTCATTGCGATTGTCGGCAATTACGGGGCGACTATTGGGAACGTATCAATCGAGTGGCCAATGCGACCAATACTACACGGCTTATTGTACGGGAAATTCAACGACCGACTCATATATTTGGCCAACAGTTGAGTCAATCATTTCACAATTATCACGCATCAGATATCGGCCGAATCCAAGTGCTCCGGGAGTTTGGCGGCATTTATCTGGACAGAGATGTCTATGTTGTGAAAAGTTTGGATCCGTATCGCAACTATGAGATGACACTGGACTATGAAATACGTGATTGGGGTTTGAATACTGAATACAAAGTGTTGGGCACACAAACACTGGTAGCCCATAGAAAGGCCCGGTTTTTGAATCTATGGCTAATGTGTTACTGTGATTATCATCCCTGGGACTGGTATTACAATGCGGGCGAATTGCCGACCAAAGAGATATTAGAAAAACGGCCGGATCTGATACACGATGCAAAAGGTCAGTTTGCTGCCGATGGTCGACGTGTTTGTCCACCACTTTACAATCGTTGGCGACCCGATTGGCGTCAAACCTATCATACGGTTCATCTGAATATTAAAGATAATTATGTTGCGCCGGCCGGTTGGTGTCTAGAAGGTCAACGACCGGCGATCTCACGGTTCGATGAAAACAATGTCCGCCAATTGAACACAACATTCGGCGAAATGGCCACAAATGTGTTGGACTATGAAATCTCAGTTAAAAAACAAACAAACAAATGATTGATTGATTATAAACTTACAATTATATTGAAAATATATATATATATAATATTCATTTAAATTTAATGATAATCTTTTTTGAATGTTTTTTTTAAATATATAAATTAGTAACATATAGTCTATTGTAATAATTTATGGTTTAATTAATTAATATATTTTGATAATATATAATAGTTTTTTTATAATATCCGCCGATTGTACACAACATTCGCCGAAATGGCCACAAATG